TGAAACAATTTTTAGATCTTCAAATTTTGTTATTATATTCTTTTTTTCTCTAAACAATTAGGGATCTCTTATAAAATCGTTTCTAATTAGCTTGGCGTAAGAATGCGAAGGTAATTTTTTAATTTATGCAAATAAAATTATGTACATAAATTATATCATATTTTATTTTTTCTCAAATTTCTTTTTATTTTTTCGAGTGATTCTCTCCAAGTTTACTTGATTAGGTGTGGCAAGCAAATATAATTAGGTGCCAAAGGTTCTTACTCTTTTTATAATTATATTTTAATTTTATTATTTGAATAAAATGTCTACTAGAAAGTATGAATTTGAATATGAAAAACATTATAAAAAAAAGGTAGAAGAACTAATTCAATCCCAAAAGGTGCACTTGATATATTTATTACTAATATTAAACCACAAATACTAGAAGAACAAGATGAATATTTAAATGAAAATATAGTTGAAATTGTGGGAAAAAAAATTTGAAGATAACAATTCAAATTCACCAAAAAGTAATGAAGAATATGATGAAAATTTAGAAGATGATGTTTCGATCAATAAAGTGACAATATTAATGATGAAGATGCAACAACAATTAAAAATATTTATGATGCGAGTACAATGAAAAAATTTAGACTCAAAACTGATTGATTTATTAGTTGAGAAAGGTCCAATTAGAGAAATTTTAGATTTTCTAAGAGATAAAAATTCTAGACATTTTTCTACAGTTCATTACATTCAAAAATTACCAAATAGAGAAAAATATGATAGAAAATGACTAGTATATTTAAAAGAGTTAGATAAACTATTTTGTTATTGTTGTAAATTATTTAGTTTGAAATCAAATATTCAATTAGCAAATGAAGGGTGTGGAGATTGGAAAAATCTTAGTGTCAAATTTAAAAAGTCACGAGACAAGTAATGAACATGCTATTAATATGAAAATTTGGGTTGATGCTCGGATGAGATTGCTTAAAACAAAAAAATTGATAAGCATTTACAAGAGAATAAATAAAGAGAAAAAGCATTGGAGGAATGTATTATTAAGAATTATTGCTATCTGTAAAAGCTCTTTCAAAAAATAATTTGGCATTTTATGGTACAAATGAGAAGATTTATCTGGACAATAATAGAAATTTTTTGAGTTTAATTGAAATGATTATCGAGTTTGATCTAATAATGCAAGAACACCTTAGACGTATTCAAAATGGAGATATTCATATGCATTATCTTGGTCATAATATACAAAATGAGTTGATAAATATTTTAGCATTAGAAATAAGAAATACCATTGTCAAAAAAATCAAAGAATCAAAATATTTTTCAATTATACTTTATTGTACTCTAAATGCAAGTCATCAAGAATATATGTCTCATATCATTAAGATATGTAGATATTTTGATAATTCCAATAAAAATAGAAGAGTATTTTATAGATTTTTTAAAAGTGAATGATAACTTTGGTGAATGTATTTTTAATGAACTTACAAGTAAGATAAAAACTTTTGAACTTGACGTAAATGATATGAAAGGGCAAGAATATGATAATGGGTCTAATATGGAAGGTAAACATCAAGGTGTACAAAAAAGATTATTAGATATAAATTCTAGAGCATTTTATACAATGTGGCTATCACAATCTTAATTTAGTTCTTTATGATATGGCTAATTCATGTGCTAGTGCTATGACATTTTTTGGAGTGACACAACGCATATATTCATTATTTTCTTCTTCTTTTGCAAGATCATGTTTCTAATTTGACACTTAACTCATTATCACAAACATGTTGGGAAAGTCGTATTGAAAGTGTTAAAACAATTAGATTTCAAACTCAACAAATAAGAGATGTTTTATATCAATTAGCGGAAACTAGTGAGGATCATAAAACAAAAAGTGAAGCTATTTCTTTAGTAACATATGAGATTAAAAATTTTGAATTTCTATTAGGCACGATTATTTGGTATGATATGTTGTTTGCTATTAATACGGTTAGTAAATATTTACAATCTAAAGATACGGATATTGCTCTTGCAATTGACCACTTGAAAGGTCTTATTTCTTTTTTTAAAAGCTATAGAGAAAATGGGTTTACATCTTCTATAATCTTGGTTAAGGAAATTGTAGAGCAAATGAATATAGAACTAAAATTTTGTGAAAAGCGTATAATAAGAAGAAAGAAACAATTTGATGAGATTGAAAATGAAGATATGAAATTATTTGTTGAAGAATCTTTTAGAATTAATTATTTTACATATTTAGTTGATCATGCGAATTCCTCTCTTCAAAATAGGTTTGAACAATTTAAAATATATGAAGATAATTTTGGTTTTCTTTATAGTGTAGAAAAATTAAAATCACTTGATGGTGATATCTTGAAAAAAAAATATTTAAATCTTGGAAACTTTCTAAAGCACGATATGCTTTCCGATATTGATTGTTTAGATTTATTTTCAGAATTAAAAGTTTTAAAAGAAATTAGAACTATGGAAATGAAAACACCACTTGCCATACTAAATTTTATATATATAAAAAAAAAAGGTAAATTCTTTTCAAATGCATGGATAACATATAGAATACTATTAACTATCCTTGTTACTTGTAATTTTGGCTGAAAAAAAGTTTTTTAAAATTAAAATTAATAAAATCTTATTTACGTTCAAATATGTCACAAAAAAAGATTAAGTAATTTGACTATATTATCAATTGAAAAAGATTTACTTTATAAATTTGAATACAAAAATTTAATTAGAGATTTTACATCTCAAAAAATAAAATAATAATAATAATAATAAATAATAAATAATATTTATTTATTTTATGAAAAATTCTCTGAAATATTATTTTATCTTGATACATATATTATAAAGCCAGCCCGTGTGAAACTTGGTGATTGGAATGCGCTGGAAGCAAGGTGCATGTGGCAACATCTTTCTACACTAAATCTTCTTTCACTTTTCTCCCACATTATTATTTTGCCGATTTAAAATCTTAGGTATTGTCGTTGTCCTCGCATACCCTTTTCACAATTCTGAAACATTATGGTCCCTGCTTGCTGAGTAAATTATAAATTAGCTCCTCTATTTTTTGAAAAATGAACTAATTAGTTCTCATTGATTTAAAAAACTAATTATTTAGTTTTATATTTAATTTTTTTTGTAACTTAATTATTTTCTTTTTTTAATTTATTTCAATTTTTTTAAAATTAAAAAAGGAAAAAAAGGGCTAAATTATTAACTCTAAAAAAAGACTAATTAAATTGTTTATCAAAATAGGAGAGACTCATTTATAATCTACTCCCATTAAAATACATGTGAATATTCATATACATGATACATCACAAACGTAAGGGTCACCAAATCTGCTGGCTAAACAGCAGCCAAGTGTTTGGTATCATTACAGAACTCCTAACAATATTTTATCCACTACATACAAAAGGTTATACATTTTTTTTTAAAAAAAAAAAAAAAAAGTGACAAAACTTAGGTTAGCAACGAACGGGGCTCCTTTTTTTTTTTTTTTTCAAACAAACTTTCACAATCGTTTATCTCTTCTTTTTTTTTTTTTTTTTTAATCAGTACTTGATCTCTTGAAGATAACACAATTTTTAATCCCAGTGCTCTCGATCCCAACCATAAGTTAATCTTGCTTTAATTACCCTGAGCTAATCGTTCATTATTTTATGACCGACTTCACTTAAAATATACTTGTATGAATACTAGCTAGTTTAAATAACCAACAAATCACGCCATTCATAATGACATCAAATTTAATTTTATTTACATTTACGATGGACAAAATACCTAATTATATATGAAGGCTTAGGTTAGTTTGTTTCTATATATTGTCTGCCTAGTATATATAATAAATAGACTATTCAATAATACTAAAATTTGGAAAAAAAAAAAAGAATTTAGTTTTGATTAATGTATAAGTTGCTTCAAAAGATTAAAAATTAATTAATAAATGAATATCTTTTGCATCTTACTAATTTGGATTTAATTTTTAAACCAGACTATAAAAATATACAAGTTTATTTAACTAAGAAAATAATCTTAGCTTCTGCGTAAGCAAACTGATATGAAATAATAATAACAATAATAATAATAATAATACTAATAATAAATGATTCTAGCTATTTCTTGTTGATCTAATCAACAATTGCCATTAATTCCTTGAACTGAAAGAAAGTCCAAACTGGCCATGACGCAAGTCTTCACCTCATGGAGTTGTCTCAAGAAAAATCACCTCTTGAAATGTCCTAGAAGCCCATGACCTCAACATTACATGGAACCAGAACCAATGGCATGATGGCCATTTCCTAAGCAGCTTACAGTTGCTGTAAAGCTAGACGTTACTTACGTACGTACATTTATGAACTAGCGGCTAGCAAGTTGAAAGAAGATAGAAATTAAAATGGAGTATAGGCATCAAGTAGCCTTTGAATATCCTAGAATTATAAGTTTGGGTTGCCGGAGTGACATCAGATACCTGCCGGTGATAGGAGATATCAGGCTAAAGTCTCAGCTTTCAGGCTAATAGTTGATCGATCAGTCTTGTTGTGGACCAAATTAAAGTGCATATTTTACAAGGTTTAAGTTTCTTTTACTTTTCTTCTTCTCTTATATATTGACTTTTGGATGATCGTAGAGAGTTCGATTTTCTTCTCCCTCAGTTTCTTAATATACTGCGTATATAAAAGAAATAAAACATACGTTTAGGTGCTTTTGGTTGATGAGAAAATGTTAGGTTTAGAAATTTCAGAGTTTTTTTTCAAAAAAGAAAAAGAAAAAAAAAAGATAACTTATAATTGTTGAATCATGAAAGTTCCATGATTGAATTTTGAAATCCCGAAAGTAATAAATATCTTCTTGTTTTCAAGTGTATAGAGCTTGTAGGTAAGCAGTAAATTCTTTGAAGTTTAGCAAAACACATGGAAGTTTCGAGTTTGAAGTTAAATAATAAAGCGATTTTTTTTTATTGATTAGGCTGTTGATCATCAATGGTGCCTTTTCCATCTCTGCTCGATGGATTGGCTAGAACAGTGTCAATCAAGAAAGGCAGAAACTCTCAAAAAGATGCTGGAAAGGAAGCTGCAGAAGCATTGGCAAAGGATGCAAGGAAGAACGAATTGATGTTGAGTTCCACTGGCATAGTTAAGTCTAATAAGTCAAATAATTTTGCCTCAGTCTGCTCCAAGAGAGGGCAGAAAGGAATTAATCAGGATTCCTTAGTTGTGTGGGAGGTATGCTTAGCTAATTTTAACATAAACCATCATATAAAAGATTTGAGTAAATTAGGCTTAAAATAGGAGCCTTGTGGATTGTTTCTAGCTGATTCTTTATATTGAATATTATTAGTTGCTCAACATGGGTTGTTTTTTTTTTTTTTTAATTTGAAAAAAGGAATTTGGATGTCAAGAAGATATGATTTTTTGCGGCATTTTTGATGGGCATGGACCATGGGGCCATTTTGTTTCTAAAAGGGTTAGAGAATCTGTACCCTGTTCTTTACTATGCAATTGGCAAGGAGCTCTTTCATTGACATCGCTTGGCATGGACTTCGAAATGGATTTAGATAGAAACCTTTACCAGTTTGATATTTGGAAGCAGTCCTACTTAAAAACTTATGCTGCCATTGATCAGGAACTTAAGCAGCATCGCGAGATTGATTCCTTTTGTAGTGGTACTACAGCTTTAACAATCATTAAACAGGTATGGTGCTTATTAGTACTAGCACTAAATTAATGTAAATATTGTTAGATTATGTTGGTCTTCAAACTGCTTGCTGATACTATTGTTGTTAACTACTACTAAAGCAGAATGGGAGTTTTCGTAATTTTAATCAGGAGCCTCTTCCTTTGGTTCTGTGTTCAGGGTGAGCATCTAGTTATAGCAAATGTTGGTGATTCTAGGGCTGTCTTGGCAACTACCTCTGATGATGGCTGCTTGGTACCAGTACCACTTCAGCTTACCATCGATTTTAAGCCTAATTTACCGGGTCAGCTGGCCATCCCTCTCTCAAGTCTCAATCTACATATATCTGCACAGACACAAAATGAGAATTTGTTATTTATGCACCTGCTTATGTCGATTGCAGAGGAGGCTGAACGGATATCACAGTCCAATGGTAGAGTGTTTTGTTTACATGACGAACCCGGGGTACATAGGGTCTGGATGCCAAACGGTAAAACTCCAGGACTAGCATTATCAAGAGCCTTTGGCGACCACTGTGTAAAAGATTTTGGGCTAATTTCTGAACCTGATGTGACGCAAAGAAAGATCACAAGCAGAGACCAGTTTGTCATCTTAGCAACTGATGGGGTATGTATTTTCTTGATGCCAACCTTTCTTATGATCACAAAAATTATCAACTATCTTCTTTTTTCCCCTCATATTTGGTTGACATTTAGGACAAATAAGAGTTTTTAGTGTAGAATAACAGAGACTATAAGAAAAATAGCAGAATGAATTTTAGTTTTCGTTGTCAGTTTTACAACATTTCTATTGTCTTGTGAACGAACCACAATCTGTACAATATTGAAGCGTTTTTATCCTGTTTTACGTAGGTATGGGACGTAATCTCGAACCAGGAAGCAGTGCAGATTGTTTCTTCAACACCTGATAGGGAAAAATCAGCTAAAAGACTGGTGGAATGCGCAGGTCGTGCTTGGAAGTACAAGAAAAGAGGCATTGCTATGGATGATATCTCAGCCATATGTCTCTTCTTTCACCCATCACCGTCTCAAAAAGTTGACCCTTCTGATGATCTCAAAACAAGCTTATGACATGATCACAGCTATTTGAAACAAAGCTTCAGCCACCGTTAGTAGTAATTGCTGTATATGTAAATATTGTAATGGATGATGGACCAAGAATTTTACATGTGTGAGAGAATTGAATGAAAGAGCATATCTTTAGTACATGTATCATTAAATTGATCTACAAGGGCAAAACTGATGGAATTTTTTAGTGTTTAACCTAAATATTCTTAACTTGCTTGAAATGTTGCAGTTTATGGAACATGCCAGCAATAGAATCCATTCCAGAAGAGTTAGGGAAGTGGATTAGGCACGTAGAGTACTTAGGAGTAGAATTTGGAAGCTCTTTGTGAATCCAGAGTGTGGCCGAGGATACTCCACTAGGTCGAAATTTTATAACCAAGAACGGCCAAGAGTCTGTTTTGCAAGGACAGAAGTTAGATTTTTTTTTTTTTTTTTTTTTTTTTTTTTTTTTTTGGGTTACCTTCATCCTTTTAGGCTATGTTTGTTTAAGAGAAAATAATTTTTAGAAACTTTTTTTTTCATTTTTTTCAATTTTTCAGAGTTTGTTTTGCATTTAAAAAAAAATTAATGGAATTTGATCTCCAAGTCAATGAAAATTAATAGACTATTTTTAGGAAAGTGACTTTGTAGTTAAAAAAGAAAAAAAAAACATTTTCTCTCTTTCTTATGAGTTGTCTCGCTCTTGAGTTACTCATCTCTCTTTCAATATATTTTAACAATTTTTTTCTTTATCTCCTTTTTTATTTAAAATATATCAAATTAATTTTTAATTATTTCTTATCAATTATTGTTAATTACTTAATTATTTTTCTCTATTTTTACCAACATTTGATTTTTGGATTTATAAATACATTAAATATTCTTAAAAATCATTTTTACACATTAAAATTATTTTTATAATAAATATTTCAATAATTTATCCTCTCTCTTTTTTTACTATTATCTCAAACACCACATAAACTATACATGAATGATTGAAAATGATTATTACAAGATTGCAATCATTTGTGAAAAATTTAAAACTAATTAATTCATTAATAAATACATTATTTTTTCAACACTATTCATTTGTAACTAAATTAATAATTTGTGACTAATTTTAATCAATTGTAAAATTTTGTTGGTAATTGTAGTTAATAATTAGTTACAAATTATTTCAACATTAATCTTTTGAAACGAAATGAATAATTATCTATAAATGATAACTAATAATTTATAAAACTATTTTTAGACTAAATTATCAATTCAATTTTCAAAAAAAAAAAAAAAAAGAATTCTTAATTGAGTTATCAAAATAATAATTTGTATACGGACTATTATGAATATGAGATTTTTTAATAATTTTTATATTGTGAGATTATAAATACACATTATTGAAGTTTCCTCAAAACTCATTGATGTAATTATCATAGACTATTTTTGTATTTTAGTTTTTTGTATAAAACAAATATCGCAATATATTTTTCGAGTAGTTTTTTATGTAATTGCCAAACGTCGGAAAATAATTTTTTTAAAAACAATTTCCTATAAAATAGCTTCTCTAAAATTGTTTTTTCTATTGAAAGTTGTTTTTTGCTAAACAAACAAAGCCTTAGATTACCTTAATTCTTTGAGGTTAATCAATCTAAATTAGAGTTTTATTGTACAAAAAATTCCTATTACTTCTTTATTTGGATTAGACAAGTTGGTCCTTATTAAGTATGGATGAGATTTAAGTTTTTTTAGTAGAATGAGGCTAAAGTTTTTATAGTTCATATTGGAACAGTTTTCTTTAGTCACTCACCAATATAATATGAGATGTTTATCATTTTGTGGTTGAATACTATTATAAATAGGAACCTTATACTTGTAGAAAAATTAGAATGTTATTGATGAATGTATAAATTCGATTTATGCACAAGAAATTAATTAAATAACTTAGCTAATTTTGTTATTATATGCTAATTTATGTTACCTTTTTTATTTTTTATGGACATAGGCTTGAACTACATCACAAATGGATTTAATTGAGGACAAGCCTCACTCAACGTCGAGCCATGAATCGCGAGGATAGACACGAGTGTTTTGGCAAGGCCGGCGTCTATGCTTTTTTTTTAGGATACATTAGGAAAATTAGTTTGGTGGGTTCGGAACCGAATCTGCTAAAAGAAGTCCCAATTATTACTTTTTTAGCCTTTACTAGCAAGTTGAAGAAGTTTAGCTTAAACAATACAAATCTTTCAAGCTAAATATAACCGTCCAAACTTGGATGATGTGGCATGATCCTAATGGTCAACGACCATCTTCGTTCATAAAAATTCCAACTTCACATCATATGAGAAAAAAGAACTTTTACATCGGAGAACTTTTTACTTCGAAACTTTTAATCTCTAGCAAAATAACACCCAAACTCTCCATCTCAATGCTTTCCCACTCACACATCGGGTAACACCTAAAGCTCCATCTGTTTGAACTTTGACTACCCATCCGTCGGCCACTCAACTTCGCCTTGCTAGCACTGCTTGCTTCTCCTTTCATATAACTCACTATTTACATTCTTTCTATTTTGGTTCATCGATCATTGCTTCAATAAGTCATAACACTAGCTCTCTAACATTATGACTAGGCTATCAACCATTCATCTAATCAATTCTCAAGAAACCCCTCACATTTTGTGACTCCACTAGGAAGTTAATGATTGTGAAGAACAATAACTCTTCCAAGACCACAAAAAAGAATATCAATCTTGCCACTAGCTCAATTACTAGCCATAATTATATTATCCTACCTAATTCTAATCATAATGCTACCAACTTCAACTTGCTTAACACTAAAAATGTCAATAATCCTCTAAATCCTTAAATTGATAGTGGTAGTTTGCCAACATTACTATCATCACCGGGCGGTGGCCTACCTCGACCGATTCTTGAGGTCCTTACCATGGTTATTCCATATTTAGGTTTTCGGACCATGATTAAAGTCTTGAAAGTTTTTCAAAATGCTCAGCTCGGACTATAAGAGAAACAACAACAAATGTTCAAATTCCTACAAAGAAAAAATGTTGTATTTACCCAAGCCCTTAGTAACATCACATAACTACTATCACCGAGTAGAATTTCCTAAACTGCTATTTCTCAAACTTTGAAAATACCAACTTTTAATGTTGATGATGATCCCATACTCGTCCGTTCAACCGGATGGTAGGAAAGACATTGCCCCATCAAAAAACCACCATGCCGCTATCCATAACCACTAATCACCATATGATATTGTTGTTTCTAGTGGTTAAGACCACTATCTTACTTAGGAGGACTTAGAAAAGTACTTTGAATGAAAGTTGACAAAATCTAATGGCAAGCTTGATCTTAAACTTTCTTGTCCAACTAACATTATAGTGAGGCCTTACCCAAAAGGACTATATGAGTTGCACATCTAAAATTTTCAATAAAAAATAAAGAGATGTCAAGAAGCATCTTGTGAAGTTTGTAGAGACCTTGGATGTTTATGGCTTAGATGATGATCCGAAGTTGAAAAAAAATTTTAAGTTACTAAATAAGAAGGCATATATATGATATGTAAACCCGGCCTTGAGTTTTATCAAGACTTATGAAGGATCATGCATCCTATGGAAGTACGAAATAAAATAAAAATTTTTTCCTCCATCTAAGGTTCCCAAGATCAAGAAGTTGAATTAACTAATCATACATACATGAATTAAAGTGTGAGGAAAGGATTAACTCTTGTAGCATAAACTTTAACCTATGCAGAAAATGAGCTATCTAAGTGTTCGGTCTCTATCGATAATTCATGCGGTTCAAGTACTCACACAAGAAGCACTCAAAAGTTGTAGGGTGCTCGCCCTATCATTTTTTGACTTGTTTGATATTTTCTCTTTAGAAATCTATTTAGGGATATTTTACGACAAATCTAAGAGAGAGGAAGAGAGGTGGCACATTTTTAGGAGGGAGAAAACTATTTTCTCCTTGTTTTCTTTTTGGCCATATATGCTTCTAATAATAACTTTTCTTTGTCGTACCTCCCCTTCGTTTATAAGAAGAGGGTCTTCCTTGTCCTCTAAGAACAAAGAAGTGGTGGCATTAGGCCCTAAAAAAAACTCTAAGTTATTATTTTCCGATCCTCCAAGGACTAGGCGTTGTAATGGATGTGGATTTTTTGATCTTATATTTTTAAACCTTGATCCTTATCTAGTAAAGTTCATGTTTATCCTCCAATATCTTGTAGACTTTTAAATTAAACCTATTGACCTAAACTCTTTTGGTCTAATTAATTATTAATTAATTTGAACTATCTAAATAAATTAGGTTAGATATTTTTAGGATGCTCATATTAGAAAATAATTTCCTAAACTATCGTTAAACCTAAATTAGAAAACTAATTTTCTTTTTAGGTAACTTTCAAATTTGAAATCGACTTCCAAATTAAGAAACTGTTTCTAAAATAAAAAACTTTTCATTTCGAAAATTTTTTTAAAAATAGAAAACTTTCAAAATTAGAAACCTTTTCCAAAATATTTGTTTCTCTTTTATTATGTGTATGACTCAATACGCTCTTAGATATATTGATAATATATTAAGAATAAAAGACACATCTTTTATTTCTTGATACATAAATCAAGATTGGCCTCTAGCAAGGCATAATAACTATTCAATTCTCTAGGAGGATTAATTAATTCGTAATTAGTTTTCATGAGCATAGTTACCATACAATTTAGTCCTAATGTTAATCTATCGCAATGTGATCTTGAACTTGGTTATTAGTCCGTTCAATTATGATCACATAAGTTTTTTTGATTTTCAAATGTCTTAATTCTAAGAGTAAACTAACTATGCTCTATTAGTCTACTCCTATTATGGGCATAAATTTCTTGAGCGGACATTTATTAAAGTATAATGTGATAACTCTTTTAGCATACAAGGAATGACATGTTTTATCTTAGTCATCCACGTATCTTTATTAGATTCCTAGTGCACTTAACGAATTGTACACGTACAATCCTTTACTGG